AAGCACTTTCACCAAAGGTCTTTTTTCCTTAAATGTATAATTAAGTAATTCCATTCTAAAAAGATAATACATAGATAGTTTCATAAACCCTCTTCCATTTGTAATCATTAGCAAATTTTGCCTTTCTTCAATCTTCCTAAACAAATATTTTATGTAGATTCTCCTTTTTGCCTACGGATGCTTGAAAGTCTCAAAACATAAGTGAAAGTCTAATTATGCTTGACCTTAAAAACTTGTTCCCTCTTGCAAACTTCCTCGTAATGGTCAATATAAGTTCATTTAGAAATAAACCCGAAGATTTCAATGGCCTTCGTAATTTTACTTGTTGTTAGTATCTTTCTCTCTTACATCAAATCTAGGGGGTCAATATTTGACACAACACGAAAACCCGACCCAAACTTGACCCGTTTCCAAGACGGGTTGAGTTCGGGTTCTCGGATTCGACCCGTTTGAAAAACGGGTCGGGTTCAGGTTGATCTGACGGGTTGCCGGGTCAACCAGAAAACCCGTTTAAAACGTCTGCTCGGCTGCCCGGGTACCCGCTCGCCCCCTGCAAGCCCCCTGTTTGGACGATTCAATCTGATTTGATGTAGAAGTAGGTGTGTCAATTCGGGTCAATGGGTCAGTTCGGGTCAAACCCGACTTGACCCGGGCATAAACGGGTTGACTCAAAACCGATCCGTTTAGTTAACTGGGTCAGGATTTCTAAATCGGACCCAACCCGCACAGGTTGCCGGGTTGACCTGACCCGACCCACAAACCCGCGAGCGCAATTGCTTGGGCAGTTGTGCGTCGACGCGTCATGGGCGAATCCACGGATGGCGAGGTCAGAGTGAGGCAGAGTGAGGCGAGGCGAGTTCGGAAACTCAGAGTGAGGCAAATCCTCATAGGGCCTGGGCGAGGAGAGGCCGGAGACTTGGAGTGAGGCGGAGTGAGGTGAGGTCGAAGTGAGGCGGATTCACGTGAACGGAGGACTCAGGCTGAGGTGGCCTGGCGCCTGGCGGGGGCGGGACTTGACCAGCTCGCTGACAGGCCGCAGGTGCGCCCGGCCAAGCTGCCCTCGCCTGCCAGCACGCTACTGCGTGCCTGCCTGCGCGCCCGCTGCGGCTGCCCATGTGCGTCCGTGCCAGCACCAGCCTGCGAGGCCTGGCCAACTAGTTTGCGTGCGTCCGAGTCCGAGCCTGCCTTCCCATGTTGGGTCGGGTCAACCCGGCAACCCGCCGGGTCGGGTCCGTGTTCGGATTTCCAACCCGTTTTCCTACCCAGGTCGGGTTAGGGTCGACCCGGGTGAACCCGGGTCAATTCTGGGTTCGACCCAAACCTGACCCGTGACTCGAAATTGACACCCCTAATCAAATATATGAAATAAGATGCAATGTTTGAAATTGCGCAATTGGGTATTAAAATATTTTCTATCTATGAAGCAAGGTATAAGCCTCATAATAAAAAAAATCAAGTTAATAAAAAATATAATGTAAGAAGTTCTAGACTACTATCAAAGTAAGATATTCTAATAAGGTCATAATAAATCAAAGTAAGATCCTAATTATAAGTCACTCCCACTTCCAAATCAACATTAACAAATAGTCTAATAAGTCTCTAAGTTACTAAGGTTATAATTTGTACATTCAACAGTCTCCCCCACACTTATAACTAGTGGGCATTCATTAAAATTATCATTATAGTGATTGCTTTCTATCCTTTATCATTCATTGTTGTGCCAGCATCATCCAAATTTTCCATCTTATCTTCAATCTCAATCATCTCTCTTCCTTAATCAATAAAACTTAATAAAAGCATTAATTAAAATTTAAAATAATGATTATGTTGATTATTACAATTTTAATTACAAGAGTTATTATAATAATCTTTTTTGTTGACTTGTATTGGTTCTATTGATTTTACTGTTTTCTCCATCAAAGAAGTTAACATTGAGATCTTCATCTTGCAATTGTGATGATGTAACTTCATTGTGATGGCATCCAGGATTGCGAATTGTTGGGAGAGAGGAAACGAGGGGTTTAGGTTTAGATGGAGTTTTATATGGAGTGAAATTATAAAAGAAGGCTTTGGGAATGTATTCTATTCATAAATTTAGTTTTTAAAATCACCCTTAACCCTAAAATTTGAGACGTATGTCTTTTGTTTATATCATAGATGTGTGCCTCAACCTTGTTGATGCGGACGCACGCCTCATTAAGGCCTTCATGAGGCGTACACCTTGTGGCGGATTTTCTCAAAAAACACTGATGCTCATCTCTTGTTTCATAATTTTAAACATGGATGAGATGCACATGACATACAAAAAGTTATAGCCTTTTTTGAAATGTAATTTACGTATAAAAGAATTGAAAAGAGTAGTTACTATATACTAGTTAACATCGCAACTATATAAGAAGCTATTTGACAATTGAACAAAATAAAAGTTGATTAACAACAAATTTAGAACTTGTTTGCCTGCTCTTTATATCTTGAATATGATTGTTTGAGATTACTTTTACCAAATTTTCTTTTCAATCTTCTCAAACTTCTAGTCTTAAGCATCTTATATAGCAATATTGTATGCTTCTTGTGCTTCAATGTATTAATTGATTTTTAAAACGTAGATTTGGTGGTGAATTTATCAAGAAATTGACTATAGTCTAATTTCTCGTATCATTCCATTTGTCCATCATAAGATTACATCTTTTTTTCCCAAAATTTCTTATATAATTTTTTATTTCTTCCTTTGGGATATCAACTTCTTTTGAAAAAAGGAACTCTCAACTGATGATAAGAATGTGAAATTAACCTCGGCTTATAATGACCCCTCGGCTTATAATGACCTATATTTTCAATCTTTTCTTTGAAGCTCTCTTGCTTAACAACATTAGAAGAAACATCAGCATGATAGAACCATCTTGCTGTAGATTTGATGGTTCTCTCTCTTTATTTTCATTCTCTAGGCTCTCTTTGATACTGTCTCATATTGCTATTCTGTGTCAAATTTATATTCTTGCATTGTTGATAGAATAGCCGTACAACTCTTTTTTTTGGTGCCTTGGAATTTGCACTACTTGCTATCGACATGATCGGTCTCATGCTCTTATTAGAATACCCTTGAGCTTCAGTCAAACATTCATCATCCTTATTATCATTGATTATATCTTCATCTATAAGAAGATGTCACTTTATTGCATTTGCTTTTGCCTGATAAGCTAGCAATTATTGTTTCTCTTCATTGGGGACCATCATAACAGTTCAACTTTCTTTCTAATTGGAAAAAAACTACCATTTATAATTTTTCTTCAAGGAATATACTTATGTCTAATTAAAAATTTGAATAAAAAGCTATATTTACTCACTTGTAGGAGTTTTCTTCTTGTATGCCTGAACATTTCCAATAAATACACATCAATTTTTTTTCCTAATTGAACATGCTAAATCAGATTAAAAGATTAAATCAACAACAAGGAAGTTACCTCAAACAAAATACGACTTAAAGGTTCTCTAATTTAACCATGAAATATAAAACTGCACTTAATAATTTTCAGGCAATTTTGAAAGCATCTCATGGGTTTGTCATGTAAATGGGTAAAAGGTAAGATTGCAAAAGGCAATGGACACTAAGTATAACAAAGAAATGCCTAAACAACAAAAAAGAGTAAAGTTGCATACCATGAACACAAATTTAAGTCGATAGAGAGTTGAGAAAAAAGTCAAAGGAAACCAATGATTCAAAAGTGGGAGGCAAATTTGAAGTTATACCATGCAAATATGAAAGATTTTACTCGAAGAATGCCAGGAAGTCAAGTTATCAGAATCATAGGATGGTATGTGCTCAAGAGTCGCGCTTATGTGGTTGAGACGTGCATTTGATGTTAAGGTTTGCATTTGTGTGGTCGATCACATGAGGAGATGAATTCAAGAATAGAAGAATTGTTTAATGACAGAGGAGAAGAATCATTGTGAGGTCAAAAGATGCATCTCCTACGTGCATGCAACCAACAATTGATCTTAAAACTTATGTTTGTAAACTAAAAATAGTGGGGATCAAGGTTCATTCGAGCTGAAAATGCACTTTTTGTGATGAAGTGATGCAATGTGTGCACCCTATCAAGTTTGTGGCACCTGTGTGCTTTGCAATTGATTAAAGTGTGTCTTTGTGCGTTGTAGCGCTTTACCTCAAATATGCTTTTAATAACGCCACTCTTTTACTACTATAAAAAATATAATCTCTTTATTTTTTGACTAGTTGATAATAAGAAATTCCAATATGGAACTGTTATGAAGGGAACATAAGAAATTACTTGAAATTGTATACCTCTTTTCTACAAAGGTAAAATGAAATGTTATCTTATTGAAGATGATACACTAATCATATGAATAATATAATAATACTTTAATCGTTGCATATTGTTCCAGTTTTAACTGATGCCGCTGTTGGGCAAACCAAAATTAGAGAATTTTAATCATTTCCTTTGGTTTTAGTTGTATGCTATACTGTTTGATTCAGATTTCACTATCTGATTTCTGTTTGGCTAGGCAATTCTACTTGACTCAAACTAAACGATATTTTCAAAATGAAGCATTGATTGACTGTAGCCCAGATACCTGTGTTTTTCATAACACAGCAAAGAAATTGTTGATTTCATATAGTAAAGCTACTTGTTTTTAAATATTTTCATTTGATAGTGTGCTTTTAAAAAAAATTCAGACATCATTTAAAGTGCATAAAGATCTATTTATATTACACGTACTAATTCCTTTCTAGCGGGTTTGGTCTGTTCCTATCAACATATTATCCATTTTTGAATTTGGTTCAATTTGAGCCAACTATAGCCTGATTATCCACATACGAGGCTTGCTTATAATCTATTTAGTTTTATCCATGTAAATTCTTCATATTAGTACGGTTTTGCTTATTAGTTTTCTATGCTGAGCCTTACAAAATGTAACTTTTTAGAAATTCAAGGCAAGTGACTTCTTGAAAGGATTTTGTGATATTCATATTATTTCAGTGTCAAGGCATCGGACGCTTATGAACATATTTGACAAAGCACCAAGTGTTCACAAAGATGCATTCGTGGCTCCAAGTGCATCTGTTATTGGAGATATTGAAGTGGGAGAAGGATCATCCATCTGGTATGGATGTGTTCTGCGAGGTATGTTTCTAATTGAATAATTTAATTAGTTATTGTTGCATCTCATTTTTGTTATATTATTAGATAATGTTTGATGTGCGAATAGAGGGGCCCATCTTTACTTCATAGTCTTGTGGTTTTCCATGTATAAGTTTTCCATATTTGTGAAAATGGACTGAACGTGGTAGATAAGCAGCTGAGTGATTTTTCAGATGGTGAGGTTGGGGCATAGATAAGTGTAGTTTAATGTTAAGGTCCCAATTTTTGTTTACAAAAACAACCTTTATGCAAATGCAGGAGTATGCTGATATATCAGCCCTTCTCATCACACCTTGCTTGGTGGGGCCTCCATGTATCGAGTATGCCCTTAAATTTACCTTGTATCGAGGAAGGGAGAGACTCTCATCTTGGTTCAACCCAATTTTATTGAATTATGATAAGAAAATAAAATTAGTGTTTTTTCATGTTTTCAAGGCCAATTGGCTCCATACAAGTATACAGAAAGCAAGGGGTCATATGGTATTAAGGTGGGACCTTAATTCCAAACAAGAAGGTTAAAAATTGGATTTATTCTATTTTTTAAGAAGTCGAAACTAACTCCATAATTCAAGCCACCAAAGGAGTTTCAACCACTATTCAGTGATATTTTGGACAAAGTCAAAGACAACTGCACAAATTAAGTCATACATGATTCAACCATAGTAAGAGGAAGAGAGAAAAATATTTCTTTCCAACTCCACAAAATAAAGATATGTGCCAATTTAGACTCCACAAATTCTTTTCCCTCTCTTGTTCCATGATTGACCACTTATAAGGGGGATTTGAAGAAAATTCTCATATTCTATCTAGATATTTTTTTTTAATTATTAAATTATTGTGATAGGCATTTAGATAATGATTTCTTTGATGAAATAACTTATCTAGATAGATAAGATTTATCATATATTTTTCTATTTTTAATATGGATTTGCATTTTATTATATTTTTGATTTTTCAAATATGGAATTAGATGACTATAAATATAGCTTGTAACTTGACTTTGAATTCAATTGAATACAATTCAATTCACTTGGCATTATTCGTTCTACTCTATCATCTCTCTCTCTCTCTCTCTTACCATACTTGACGGTACTTGTTTCCAAGGGCAGCTTAAGCTACCGTTGACTGCATTCTACCATGATTTTCAGTACCTGATGTGATGACAAGAGCATATTTCAACAAATCTGAATTTATAATTGGAAACTACAACAATTTGGGAAAAATATATGAATTAAATCAATTGGTGTTTTGATAATTGTTTTGCTAATAATAGTGAAATTGCTTACTGTTTAAATCTAAAGCTTGGAGAAAAAAACAATAAGCCCATATAGAGGGAAAGCCAACAGAACAAAAGGATTGAATGCAAAAAATATAATTAAGGATTTGATGGTCAATTATGCGGTGGTCTCTTTTCTTTGATTATCTTATCATCAATTTGGGAAGGATATTGCATTAGGTCTTATAGAAAACCTGATCTTTCATGCCTCATGAACAAACCTAGAAAATTCTACTAGCTCCACTACATTTCACATTTTGCTGAATCAAGGATATCATAACATGATTGTATATTGGCGTCAGATTGATTTTGAATTATTCAACCATATTATAAGGTATACTAGCATCTCAACCTTTGAGAAAATCAACTGGTCAACACTCCACATACTGAATATAAACTAGACAATTGTTTATTCTCCAACAATATCCTTTGTTTTTTTTAATCAGAAAAATCATTATCGTGTGTCACCAGTAGAGATATTTAATAAAGGAAGTTTTTTTTTTTTCAAAGAAATGTTGTTAAATTATGATGCTAGACCATGATGGGCTCTTTTGTGAAGCCTCTCTTTAAGTAGTTTTAACTTTAAGATTAATTTGTTTGCATTTATGGGTAGGAAATGCATCATTAAAATATATAGTATTATTATAAAAGGATTTTGAAAGAAAAATGTTGAGTTTTTTTGGTTGGTTATTTAGATCAGCCAAGTTGTACAAGAAGCTCGGATGCACAGATGCAAATACGACGACTTGGACATAGGACACATCAATTATTGAAATTATAAAATGCGGATACATGTTATACATTATATTATTAATTTTTATATATTAAAACTAGTGCATAGAAATTAGATAAGTATAATATTATGAATAATAAAGAAATGAAAAATCATTTAACTAGGATTTATCTTTAAAATTATTAAGATTAGGATATCGAAATTAGGGTATCTAGAGATGAGATGATGTCGTTGTTGAGATTTATTTGTTGCACATTGGTGGTTGATGTCAAGACGACATTAAATAAAAACGAGATGCCGAGTTGGCACGAAGGTGTGACTATGGAGTTAGAAATTGTTGGCGTTGGGAATCAATTTCAAGATGACGTCGACAGTTGATTTTAAGATGGTATCAGATGTTAGTGTTGAGATGATGTTAGACGTTGATATCAAGATGGCTTTGGGCATTGATGTGCAACCCTACTTATGATTTGCCAAAGAGAAATGAAAACATGAATGTTTGGGAGATAGAATATTGAGTGTGGACAATTGATTTGGGGATGTAGAGAAGAAATAAGAAATTTGATTTTTTATTTTTAATGAATAAAAAATTGAAATATAAGAATTATATTTAAAAATAAATTTTCATAAAATTTTAGGTTATCCATGTCAGAGACATGCTTGTCCAATTTTTTGATATTATTTTAATTAAGCATGTCTTCATAGTGTCTGACATGTGTCGGAGCCATAGCTGTGCCCTTGTCCTTCAAGAATTGGTCATTGCAAACCTTCTTTAAGAAGTGTCGTTGCGTCATAAGACAAGATGCTTTTAAGATTTTAAATATTATGTGGAGTCAAGTCATTTAGTTAGCCAACAAGTAAGCTATATAAGATAAATTTTTTTTTTGGTGAAGATCATCATTGCTTTAGCTAATTATTATACTTAATCTTAATTTGATGAGCTAATTAATTTAAATAGATACTAACCATAAAATTAAATATAAATTAATAATAATTAACATTAATCATCACTATTTAGCTGTTAGTTCAATTACATTTTTTAATAGTTAATTAACACACAACATCACTAGTATCATGCATAATCAATTATACTTAGTAGTTGAAAGTTAATCCATATTTGTGGAATTGGAACTTGATGCCATCAAAGATGAGTGCAACATCATGAATGATGCAGCCGTGGAATCAACGAGGTTTATAAAGGGCATCACATACAACCGGAGATTATAACTATGTTGGGGGACCACAATTTTGTCAACCATTAGCAATCAGTGGAGATGTAACAACAATGTGCATGGCATATTGCTAACTTTTAAAATCAGTCTAAGTGTGCAAGAATGAATGGCTTTAGTTATGAAATTGGGATGGAGAAAGCTAATGCAATCGGGGACGAAGAAAATGATTGTTTTGTTAAAGATGAAGGAAGACAATGATGACATACATGGGGATGATGTTGGTGATTTTGACATGGTTTGCATTGAAAGATGATGTAGTTTCAGACAAATGATGGAGATAGTAATTAGATGACAGATGACAAATGGCATGGGACAACACATGATAGTGGTGGTGACATGGTACAATAACTAACATTGAGAGCAAGTATGGGGTTGCAGTAACGAATAAAGGAAACCATGTGATCTACTTAAAGTAAACTTAAGCGACATTTTTGGGTCACTTAGAGTAGTCTTCTTTTTAATCACTTTAGGGAAAAGCCAAGCTTATGATTTTCTAGTTTTAGGAACTCTTGAAATTGTTTTTGGCTTTTCTTAAGGATTAAACTTGCTTAAATTTAACTCAAGTCTTAACCAAACAAACACAAGTTTAACATGATTAGAAGATGCCTAAAAAAGTTGTCATAGAATAGTTTTAATATCTCATGCCATCATCGTTGGTTTGGTTGATGGAAAATGAGAATTTATTAAGACAATCATCGTTGGGATAAAGGTTAATGATGGCTGATGATGATGATGATGATGATGAATGTGATCCATTTTTGTGGTTGTACGGTTTGGAGCTTCTTGGAACAATGATTGATGAAGATTCCATTTTGTGGGTTCTTTTAGGCTTGGTCGACAACAATGATTTACTTCTTTAATCTAACTTCTTTCAAGACATCCTCATGGTTGATAATTCCATCATGAACTTGAAGAATCTATTGGACACATTACTTGTTTTATCATAAAATAACATTAGGTGGTGATTGTGCTGGCCCTTCCAATTTCAAACCATTCATGCTTTTTATATTCAAGGTTTGAAATTGTGCACTTGGGTATTGAGACATTTTTCGTAAGCTTCAATGCATTTTGAGACATAAGCCTCAAAATTAAACTATTAAATTAATTCAAAAATATGAAAAATAAAACATTTGGGATTGACATTTTTAAATTGCAATGTAACATTATAAAAGTAATGCAAGCACTCGATAATAAATAAGTTCAAGATAAACAATACATCCAAAATCATCACATAAATATATCTTGAAATAAACTTTTTATGACTTAGGACTATGGATTCAAAAGTCTCTCCCTCTCCCATTATTTAATGAATCTTCATTAGATTCATCATTGTAGTGAATTGCTTTCTTGTCTCCCTAATTCTTACTTGTAGCAATGTCCTCCCACTCTCATGCTTATGTCGGATCTTTTCTATTGTGCATTTCCCATTGAACTATTCTTATAATTTCTCACCATTTTAATTAACCTTAAACTGAAAAATTCATCCACAATAGAGAATAGAGAAGGAAGATAAAGAAGAAAAAATCATCAAATAAAATGAGAAAGAAAAGAAGAATGGCAAAAAATTTATAGGGAAAGAAGAGAATAGAAGAAATGAGGAAGGAGAAGGGTTACTGGTTCAACCATATCAGCACAACAGCATTGACGACCTAGGAGATTAGGATATCGGTGGCACAACAATATTAACTAGTTTCTCCTTGGTAGCTCCCTCTGGAGCCTCCAGCTTTGACTTTTTTATAGG